CAAATGTTTCCTGCGGATTATAACATGCATATATGAATAACCCTCAAATTGTCAAGTCAAGCTAGGCAATTCCTTTAGGTCGATGAATACATACTTAAATATAGTGATCATATATAAGATGTTAAGAGTGATAGAGAGGTACTCGATTGATGCATGCATACATAGAGATACCTATAATATGACACAAAAAGCAATTATTACAACAGTTTTCGAGCGCTCAAACCTATTTTTTACCATTTACGTCAAAGTCATCCATCATCATTTCTACTTTTGGTAATGAAATAATAGAAATTTCACTCCAACAAAAGGCAGGGCAATTGGTGAAGAGTCATCATTAGCCTTACTGCGCATGTGTGATAGATATTTGTAGTTATTTATGAGCAACAATATTATCAATTACTCCAAAACTTTTTTATTTCTCTCGTGAAAATGGAAATGCAACAAGTGTATTGACAAACATATTATAACGTTGATCTGCATGACAAAATAATTTGTTTGACTGTGTGTTTATTTCGTTGATATGCATAACAAAATAATTTGTTTGACTGTGTGTTTATTTCGTTGATCTGCATGACAAAATAATTTGTTTGAGTGTGTGTTTATTTCGTTGATCTGCATGACAAAACAATTTGTTCGACTGTGTGTTTATTTCGTTGATATGCATAACAAAACAATTTGTTTGACTGTGTGTTTATTTCGTTGATCTGCATGACAAAACAATTTGTTTGACTGTGTGTTTATTTCGTTGATCTGCATGACAAAACAATTTGTTTGACTGTGTGTTTATTTCGTTGATCTGCATGACAAAACAATTTGTTTGACTGTGTGTTTATTTCGTTGATATGCATAACAAAACAATTTGTTTGACTGTGTGTTTATTTCGTTGATATGCATAACAAAACAATTTGTTTGACTGTGTGTTTATTTCGTTGATCTGCATGACAAAACAATTTGTTTGACTGTGTGTTTATTTCGTTGATATACATAACAAAACAATTTGTTTGACTGTGTGTTTATTTCATTGATATGCATGACAAAATAATTTGTTTGACTGTGTGTTTATTTCGTTGATATACATAACAAAACAATTTGTTTGACTGTGTGTTTATTTCGTTGATCTGCATGACAAAATAATTTGTTTGACTGTGTGTTTATTTCGTTGGTCTGCATAACAAAACAATTTGCTTGACTGTGTTGATCAACGTTTGTTCTGCGTTCAGACGTTACCGAGAATTCTTCACTCCATTGCACCGTCATTCACTTATCAAAATTGCAATTTTGATGTTGCGACTTCAAAAGAGACTACGGCCAGAGTTGTCGTGTGGCGTGAGTTTGATATTTCTAGAAGTTACACTATGGAAAGCACTTACTGTGGAGCTGATCAAGGACCATACAAGGTATGGCTGCCTTCCGTTTCTCAGATGTTTAGCTCTTAAAGTGCCTTGAAAAAGTGTAAATTTTTTCATTAAAAAAATCTAACACTGTAATTAAATATATTTTCGTCGTATTATTTCTGGAGTTACAGAACCTATAGCTTCTATGTAAATTTATTTCTGGAGTTACAGAACCTATAGCTTCTATGTAAATTTATGTCTGGAGTTACAGAACCTATAGCTTCTATGTAAATTACAGAACCTATAGCTTCTATGTAAATTTATTTCTGGAGTTACGGAACCTATAGCTTCTATGTAAATTTATTTCTGGAGTTACAGAACCTATAGCTCCTATGTAAATTTATTTCTGGAGTTACAGAACCTATAGCTTCTATGTAAATTTATTTCTGGAGTTACAGAACCTATAGCTTCTATGTAAATTGAAGAATTAATGGTCTGTACTTTCCTAATAATCGTGTTCTTTGCTTGTATTGATTCTTGAAAATGTTCAACTTACTTGCTATATTTCAAAATATAATTAAAAATTTAAGTTGAAGCACAAGCAAATTTATAACATGGTTTTAACACATGTAAATGAGCGACAGACCACCACAAGAAGTAAGCAAAAAGCAAACATGCAAACGCTCATAATAAAGTCGATTTCAGTTTCAGAGAATTCGTTGTTTAAGACTACAGACGTTTCGGCACCGATTTTCACGAAAAACTTGCAAATGATGAAATATTTGTTCTCTGAAAACAACTATTTCTATAAAATTGCTTTTGTGTTACTGGTGAAAGTGAAATTTCTTGAGAACGTTATTTACTTTTCCTATTACGATCTCAAAGATTCTTTTTCTCCTAAAAATTACTCTCATTTCATCAGATTACTTTAACACTTGTGTATATTTTTGGTAGGGTATGCATCTTGGAACGAAAGAACTTGAGGAAATGGGTCGATGTTTCTGTGCTGGATTAGTAAAACTAGGAAACAGTGCAAGTATCACTGCATTACTGGACGTTTCCTCGAATGTTACTTTGGACGAGCTCGACTCGGACGAAAATGATCTTGTGTAGGTTTTAATCACAACCAAGGACGTAGGAAAATTGATAATTGGCGGGGGAGGGGGCTCATATTTATATATTCATGTCATGATCCTTTGAAAACAATGGATTTCAAAAGAACTTAACTCTAACTTAACTCTTGGAGTTAAGTTATATCATGAGAATATATGAATATGAGCCTCCCCAATCAATTATCGATCTTCCTACACCCATGATTAGAACATTTTAACCTTCAAAACACCCTTTGTAAACAACTTTTATTTAGAACCTATGCACTTTATTTATTTACCCACCATGGTGACTTTGTGGTTATACAGGTTAAAGTCTTCATGTAAGCTTTTGTCAATGCACATTATACATTTCATTCTGAAGATGACTACCGCTAAGGTTGTCGAAACGTCAGTCAACAACAACAAAAACAGGCCTTCTCAGGACTATACCAACCTGGACGATCTACATTTACAAACATGTAACGATACTCCCGGGTTCAAACCATTTACTTTAGCACATTATACATGGCAATTAAACCATTAAAATCGGTCAACTCGAAGGCGCCTGCATTCGACAACGCCGCATTTATTGGTACTTGGAACTATGTTTTCGATATTATACTAATGTTCATATCTGTATAATGTTCGTTATACTAATTCTGTTGCATATCCCACACTATAGCAAGAGTTCCCAAAGATATAAAATATCGTCTGTTTCGTCCGAGAGACTTTTCTCTGGGGCAGGCGATAATGACAAGTATGATCACAAATGTAAAAGAGTTGCCTATCAAAAAGTTTTTTGTTAACTATTAGTTCCATCTGTGGCAAACAAACTTAGTGATTTGTAAGCTAGATATGATGAGACACTACTACTCACAGGTCTACTTATTGTACTCATTTTACTGCTAGCTATCCAATCTAACGCTAACAAAAAACGATTTTTGGTGAATTGAATTGTAAAAATATATTTTCGTACTTTAGTGTCCATAAATATTCCCACCAACCGTGAAATTCTTTCGCTGTTCTTGCAACGAATTTGTTGCAAAGGTCATGTATGTTGTTGTAAAATAATTATAGCATTTTACAATAATTAAACTGTGTGCTACAGTTAAAAATACGACCATTGAAAGTGGTTTTTAATGAGAAACATGAAATCGAAGTAATCGTTTCAAGTTGTGTTTAATTGGTTTGTTTGCCACATTGCATTTGCATAAAAGCTACAGATAAATTGTGCAAGTTGTTTTCTCTTCACAGAATAAGCTTGCAGTGTTACAGTTGTGTAATTAAGACAAAATTGAGCTAGTTTGTTAAGTCTTCACAAAGCAGCCTTGCAGTGTTACAGTTGTATGGTTTATACAAAATTGACAAGTTGTACAGCCTTCACAAAACAAGTGCATGTGTTGTAATATTGTACAGTTGTATCGTTTAGAGAAACTTGGCAAGTTGTACAGCCTTCTCAAAACACGTGTGCAGTATTGTACAGCCTTCACAAAACAAGTGTGCAGTATTGTACAGCCTTCTCAAAACACGTGTGCAGTATTGTACAACCTTCACAAAACAAGTGTGCAGTATTGTACAACCTTCACGCAACAAGTGTGCAGTATTGTACAGCCTTCACAAAGTAAATGTGCAGTATTGTACAGCCTTCACAAAGCAAGTGTGCAGTATTGTACATCCTTCACAAAACAAGTGCATTTGGTGTAGTATTGTACAGTTGTATAGTTTGAACAAATGAGCAAGTTGCACAGCCTTCACAAAGTAACTTTGCAATATTATACAGTTGTCTAGAAAAAATTAGGAAAATTATAAACCCTTCACGCAGTAACCTTATAATGTTATGGTTTCATAGTTGAGAATGTTGACAAAATTGACAAATTTATAAACTCCTCGCGCAACAGAGATTGTTGTTGACAATATTGCAAAGAAAAATCTACTTCTAGCTACTAATATAAAATCCTTAGTAATGATCATATTTGTTTCTTTAGACTACCAAGAGGTGAAGTTTTTGCTCCAGTTGCAACTTATCCTTACGAAGGTCAAGATTATGCCACTCAGTTGCTTGTTTAAAGAAATAGCGCTTATACATACAGCATTGTATATTATTAAATGTTTTTAATACTATGGCATTCTTTTCTATAAATGTTGTTTTTTGTTATTTTTAATAAAAATAATTCATGCAGAGATTCAAATTATGGACTTGCGATAAAAATGCGTTGCAACGAACGTGGATAGTGTGGTAAATAAGTATCCATTGTGGATAGTAGGGTAAATACTTAAGGAGAAAGGATCAGCGCACAGCGCATGCGCAGATTCTATCTCCTTGAAGGACACATGCAAACTACAAGACAACTTTATTTTATTGTAATGCCTATAGCGTGAAAATAAGACGTACCAAGTTTCAAGTCGTCCGCAAAATATTTCAAAAGATATTTGGGGTTATAATCGGTAAAAACACGATATTCGATGACCATTGCTAAAACGCCGTGAGATTTTTTAAGTCTGGGAACTGGGAAAGAGTGACGTATTAGTTGACATAAACAAGCATTGTTCTTATATCGCTCTACGACTAGCACTGCTTTCGGTAGTTTGCTATTACTGTTCTTTAACAAAAATTAATGGTTCTTCTTCTGAAGAAGCCGATTATGATATTGTCATCAATAACAATGAGGTACAACCTTACATGTTTGAGCTTTTGGCCAACGCGCAAGGTGGTCAAAATGAAGACAATTCTTCGTCATCGGAAAGCGAAGATGAATACATTCACAGAATTGGAAATGTTGAATGGTTAGTTGCATTTTATTGGTGCTTCATTGTTTTTCACAAAGTAAAAGGGTTGTTTTTATTTTTTAGGTGCGAGTGTGGCTTTTGTGTGGTCATGAGTAAAGGACGGGAAAGTATATGTTGCCAAGAGGTAAACAATACTGATCCTCTGATACATGGCGATCATATTTGCATCACACAAGAGGAAGAGTTTGCCACAGTGTGTACAAACGAAGCTGTCGTAAAAACAGCTATGGTCGTGTACACACATGACATTGAACCTATGCCTGAGAAGGAAGAAAACGAGTAAATATTACCTTAGAAGTATAATTACGTGTATGTCGACAAGTGTATAATGCCGATAAGTATCTTAGACAAAATTTTGTATCTTTCAAATAGCATTACGCAACACGGCGTACCGACAGTGGACGGCTTAGGTGCATGGCAGGTTGGGGAAAAGTACCGACTACCCATACCTTCTTGTGCTGTGGACAAAATCCGGAAAGCATTTCCTTCGCCTTCTGGAGAATACAAAGGATTTGAATATGCTCAACACTACTGAATGGTAGGGCTTATGGCGTATGACAAAGTCTGTTCATTTGTAATTATGTTTATTTCATGTGGAACGTTATTTCTATTTTCTTTTTATTTATAAAAGCGACATTTATGTTGCTTAATGGCTTCAGCTTTGCTGATTTTTGATTTGTGGCAAGTCAATGGGACAGGTATTTCTTTCACTCCAGCGACATCAAGAGCTTTGGACAGTGTTGGATTAATGCGTCTGCAGTACAAAAATTCTATCATCAAGTCTTTAAACATATCCTGAAAAGCAAATCATTCTTTATGTTCGCTTTGCATTGCACTTTGAGAAAAGGTAAGTTTTTTTTCTGTGCTAACCATAAGTGCTGTCAACTTTCACTGGTTTGGTAACCCCTTGTCCTTCTTTTGACTTTGAATAAGCCACTCTGTTGCCTACCAATGCCTCTTCTGTTTGCCCACCATTCTTCGTTTTCCGAGTTTTATTTCCAATCTCATTGAAATGAAAAGCGGCAATAAACAATCTACAAATGAACGTTTAGTTTATGTTTACAACTATTGCAACTTATTGCTATTGCAATGATGACTTTTTTATGTAATCGTACACAAGTCATAATTATATTACCATGCTTTCATTGATCTGTAGAAAAAATGAGTATGTTTTGGTGCAAAGAGAAATACCACTCGGTGGAAACCTTCGATGCATGAAGTCTGCTTCTGATAACTGAGTTTTCCAATATCTTTTATGAGATACTTGGACTCAACAATCGAAGACAGCTCAACATAAGCTTTTGAACCCAAGATCAGAAGTTAGTTAACAAAAAAAAAAGAATGTTGATGTTACTTTGAAATTTATTCGCGTACAATACCTTTTTTTATCCACATTCTAGGCTCTAACATATCATGTTCACATTTTGGGAATACATCGTTATGTCCCTCATGGATGTCACATATATGATTGAGAACTGACAACCACTTTGCCTTGACAAGTTCTTCATCACCATTGCTGGAAGCAGCACACTAGTATACATGGTTGGAAATTGATTGGGCCCAATCTGACAATAATTTGCAACCACTTTTTTTGATGCTGCCAAAATTTTCTTTTTGATTCCTGTTGAATTTTGATTATTGATGAAATGTGTTGTAATTTACGGCAACGAACTTTAGGTCATTAGAAAGAGCTCGACGAGAGCTTTAATGAGCTAAAGATTAATGATTTTGCTGCAATACTTTAGAAGATAGGATCTGCGAATGCGCAAAAAATACAGTGCATGCGCAGATCCTATTTCTTGAATTATTAGGGCTATCTGCGGTAATGATGTTTAGCTTCGAAAGAGCTCGACGAGAGCTTTAAGATGAGCGAAAGATTAATGAGTTTGCTCCAATACTTTAGAAGATAGGATCTGCGAATGCGCAAAAAATACAGTGCATGCGCAGATCCTATTTCTTGAATTATTAGGGCTATCTGCGGTAATGATCTTTAGCTTCGAAAGAGCTCGACGAAAGCTTTAAAATTCTTAGATCATCTTAAAGTTCTCGTCGAGCTCTTTCGAAGCTAAACATCATTACCGTTGATAGCTCTAATAATTTAGGACATAGGATCTGCAATCATCTGAAACCACAGGAGTGATTTCTCGTTGGCCTTCTTGTCGAGCGGCTTGCAACCACTGATCTGATAATAGACCTATCATCAGTTCAGTCTATTATCAGATAGGTCTATTATGAGATCAGTGCTTGCAACAGACTTGCAAAATACTACATTTATAAATGGATCATGCTCGAATTTCATAATATACGAAATATGTGGATTGTTTACAATCAAATTCAGGGGCAAATCTGAAAGTTGACTACGGCACTAATGACACCGACCGCTTCGATGCTGTCTTGAAGAAATAAACCTTTCTACTGTGTCTACATGTATAATATAAAAGTCAGAAGCGGAATGCATTTGTATTCTATTTAAAGAAATAAACCCCTGTACTTGTCTGTTGTTTTCTATTACATTCTGATGAGTTGAATAGATATGTTAACAATGTCAATCTATGTCGATAAACCATTTAAATGAATGTTTTTCAATTTAGTCATTTCATTTCTTATTTTCAGTTCTACTTGTCGCCGATGCCAGCACATTTTCTTTCTTCAGACGTGTACTCGTCTTGTAAAGCTTTATGCATGCGAAAATATAGTTTTATCAGTTTATTAGTTTTTCCTTCTAATTCTTTCATCTTGTTGGTTAAATTTTGATTTTCTTCTTGCAAATTTCTATGTCCTATCTCTAGTTCTTTCAGTCTTCTTGGTGTCAATAATTCACAGCTCTTACTGCAGGTCGATTCTTCCATTTTTATTGATTTATTCAATTATTGTATTGCTTAAATTTTAAGTTTCAGAATTTGATCTGTTGGATTCTATTCTTATACCAACTAATGCATACGATAAACACAAACTCTCTTTTATACTCCATCAATTGATGATTTTTCACCAAAAATACTGAATTTATTTGTTTTTGCATTTTATGGTCGTTCAAGGTCATACTGCATCTGAATGTATTCCAAATTGAAAGCTGTCATATTTTAAGTTAGTATCAGATCGTACCAAGCACAACATTCTTAAGTCGTAAATATTTACCGTAAATGGAAATAACAAATGTTCATTGACGTCAAACAAGATGTAGAAATGAGCGTTCAAGGTCACATTATCTAAATTTAACTCAAATTAATGCCAGCTTGCCTCAACAGACATTCAAGAACCATAGATGAAAATAAATGAAAAATTACTAAGTGGTTAACAAAATGCATTAAATTTTACAAACCATACAAACAGTGATCTTTAAAAATTTCTTATCAAAAAATGGATTCAGTGATGGATCATTATTATTATTATTATTATTATTATCAAAAGATTTAGAAACAGAAAAAGACATGATGCATTCAAAAAAATATTAAGAAAGAAGCAGAATTATCGACCACTAGCACTACAATTTGAAATAATGGAATCTCGGGAGAATAATCAAATTTCAACAACGAAACTTATGTTAAAAATAAAGATAGCAGATTATGTTGAACTTATCAAACTATACAATGAAAAATGTTGGACGTCAACTTCAAACCCCCGAAAAAAACTATCAATTTACAACGAAATGAATAACTGTAGTCCATTAGAATTTCAACTTTAATGTTTATTACAGTCGAGCATTTGTGCTGGGTACAATCTGCTCCTAATTTGAATTAAATCCAGATGTTATAGTAAACTATGATAATAATAATCCTTAGCAACCCATTTTTTATTTGATCAGATTTCTGGGGAGACTATCTAACTATCGCGGGTCGCGGGTAAAAAGTCGCGGGTATAAAAAACACTTTTTATGCATGGAAGGTTTGAAAGAAGTCGATCTTAAATTCTCAGGAATTCCTTATTTCTATGTATGCCCACTTGAATGTGCTCTATGAATCAACGTTCTCTGCTGTCAACATTTATATATGTCACTGGTGCTTTGGATATTTAAAATTTGTGTTGGTTATAACTATCCAAATAGACAAAACGATGCGTTGTTAATAAGAGGAGTTAAGATTAGTTTTGAAGGCCGCAACTTTACCCTCGACGTTTTACCCACGACATGCGACATTCTACCCACGACATGCGACATTTTACCCACGACACGTTTTACCCCACGACACCGACGACATGCGACATTTTACCCACGACACGCATTCTACCCACGACATGCGACATTTTACCCACGACATGCGACATTTTACCCACGACACGCGACATTCTACCCACGACATGCCATTTTACCATTCCCGACATTTCCATCCATTTACCCACGACATGCGACATTTTACCATTCCATTTCCATTCCATTTTTTCCATTCCATTCCATTCCATTCGACATTTTACCATCCATTTTATTTACCTTTTATTTTCTTAGAAATAGTACTTCTTCTCTACTATCTCATCGAAATCTATATTTCGTTTATGTCTATCTCTTGATTAATTCCCTTGAATGTTTGTGTCTGATACAAGCTATGGTATTAATTTGGATTGATTCCAGATGTTGCGATTAGATATAATAGACAACATCCAGAAACCATTTTTAACTTTCAGTTAATTTTTCAATTAAAAAATATTATTTAAAAAATCTTCCATGAACATAACATTATTTGCGATTAATATTATTGTGCGAAATTTAAGTTTAAAGCCATGGGATCACTACCAAAATAAAAACAGAACGTCTTTAAGGTTAAGAGGTCATATTTGCGCAACATTGTGTTTGAAAATAGCTACAGTACTTATTTCAATTTGAAAAAAAATTATGTAAGCTAGGTACAACTACAACACGGTTAATTGTCAAAAGAAAGAAAATTTTGAATAGAAAATCGAGTAGAAAGAATAACAAACAAAGAAACGAACAAATATGAACAGTAATCATTAAAAGATTAAAAAAAAACAGCCAATAATTGAAAGTTGAAGAATCCATCAACGAAGAAAGGCCAACATTAATTACAATGCCACCAAATGGTGAAAACCTCTTCCTCGCAAAAAGATTGGGTAGAATAATCAATAGTCAAAACCACTCATTAAGATTGTTTGAGTTCTTATACATCGAACCTACCTATGTCATGCCTCTACTACGAGAATATATTCAACTGATAAACTTCGTTGGAGAGGAATAAAGTAGCTGCATTGCTCGATAGAAAAGATAACAGCGTGATCAACTCCAAAGGAAGATTTATCGAATTTTTAAATATTAAAGTATTAAGTTGTCCGAAGAAATTCGTTTGAAAGAGAATTTTGTGCATTGGATAAAGCATTGTTAAAGGAGAATCAAGTTTTGTGGCATGTTGATACTGTTTTATTTTTCAACAGCGTGATTAATTCACGTTGACTCTCTGAAGCTCCTGGTGAAGGAGCCATTAGAGTAAAATTAGCGAAAAATATTCGGCTTCTATAATAGTTTGACGTGAATAGCGAATGGGAATAGATGCCAGATACAATAATACTCCAGGTAACCTACAAAAATATCTTATAATTTTGATCGCTCTAGTTGGAAGGTTTAAGGAAAACACACTTGGTTGAGCTTTAATATGAAAATCTTTTGAACGCATATAAATAATGAACGATTATAGAATACCCGTCTATTTTCAAAGGCACCCTGACAAATTCGAGGATACCGCATTCATAGTAAAACATAATAGAAAAGTTAAACTAAAGTATCATTTAGTTCTCAATCATTATTTATTTTGTATCATTCATTTAGTGGTCAATATAAAGATCGAAGTTTAAAGAACGAGGCATATTATAGAAGTGGATAGATAGTGTGTAATCTAGGCAAGTGATTAAATACAATTACAACACGTTACAACAATGAAAACAAATGGTGAATTCTCATTTCTCAATACAGAGACAGGTAACTTTACAAGCAGCTCACGGAATATTGTTCTAACTCAAAAATATGCGCACTTATATACCAAAGCCATGCTTCATCTATTTCATCAAGATTATTAAATACTAATGCGCTTTTGGCCAAGTAAAATGGCTCACAATGCGCAATTTAAAGTTAAATACTAATGCGCTTTTGGCCAAGTAAAATGGCTCACAATGCGCAATTAAAGTTAAATACTAATGCGCGTTTGGCCAAGTAAAATGGCTCACAATGCGCAATTAAAGTTAAATACTAATGCGCTTTTGGCCAAGTAAAATGGCTCACAATGCGCAATTTAAAGTTAAATACTAATGCGCTTTTGGCCAAGTAAAATGGCTCACAATGCGCAATTAAAGTTAAATACTAATGCGCTTTTGGCCAAGTAAAATGGCTCACAATGCGCAATTAAAGTTAAATACTAATGCGCGTTTGGCCAAGTAAAATGGTTCACAATGCGCAATTAAAACGTCAGTTTTAAAAATTGCGCACATTGCCACTTTGTGAGACAATGCGCCAGGAAATTATTCCAAGCGCAAGATTAAGTTAGCCGTCAAAACAATGTAAAATAGAGTATATAATTCATTGAATAAAGATATGCTTCAATTAAGCTTAAAATTTATAGTTTGCTTACAACAAAACTAGGATTGCAACCCAAACGCAAGATAAAAGCCTAGCTTGATGACAACACCCGTACAAAATACATTGGCAATGAAATTAGAAGTGCACAGCTATGCTATACTATGTATTCATATATGCTAAGCCAAATTATAATAAAAATAACTTCCATCCTTATTTTTGTCAAAGTTACGGACAGCTCCACAGATTGATGACGGCTACGCGTTTTGTTGTCGCAACAATGTTTCCGCGCCAAAATGACGTAAATCGTAGTCGTACTCGTAGTCTTTGCTAAAGCTCTCTAATGCCATTATGCCAGTATAGATTTCAAAAGCAAACGAAAGACGTTAAACTTTTTAAATAAACTTTATCAAATGTAAACAGATCACTTACTGAAAAAGACTTGCCACAACAACTCTGAAATAAAAAAAATCAATCTTACTTATGCCAACCATAAAGTCCATTCCGGTCTAGCAGATGTTTCAAGCAGCTTGCTTACACAAATCTCTGAAAAATTTGTGGAATGTCGAAATTTCCGAGGAAAAAAGTTATTATCAAATGACTTGCGCAAGAAGTTTCTGTTAAAAGCAATTTCTTTATTTTAGTAAAATAAAAATCCATGAAGAAATTACGTACATAGGTAATGGATGGACTGCAAATGATTTTCATCGTTCTTTGTCGTCCTTGCTCACTGCTCGCTGCGATATACTACCATAAATGGAAATTACAAATTTTCAATGACGTCAAACAAGATGTTGATATGAACGTTCACGGTCACATTTGAAAAAAAATGACTTTTTGTCAAAAAAAATAAATTTTTGTTAAAAAATGAATTTTTTTGTCAAAAAAATGAACGTTTTTTTTGCTCAAAGTCTCTGGTTGTATCAAGCATAGACAATAAACAACCATAAATGGAAATAAATGGAAAAAATTACAATATTGTTGACAACATGTAATGAATTTTCCAAACCATAAAAAACAGTGATCGTTGAGTCAACAATGGATTATTATTATTTTTTATTACATTTAAAAGATTTTAGAAACAGAAAAGATACGACGCATTTAAAAAAGTCAAAGAAAAAACAGAATTGATCACCCACTACAAAGTACAAATCCAAATTGGAATGGCAACGAAATCTCTGGAGAATGATTGAATTTCAACAACGAAAATTACATTGAAAATTTAGGTAGGCTAGATAATGTTGAATACCAAGTTGAAACTCCGCAACGTTTACTTCATGAAAACTATAAATTTACAATGAAATGAACAACGATAACTCATAAGTGGCTTTAGAATTTCGACTTCTATGTTTGTTGTGGTTGAGCATTTGTGCTGGGTACAATCTGCTCCTAATTTGGATTAGATGCAGATGTCATAATAAACTATGATAATAATAATCCATTGCGACTTACATTTTTCATTTGATTAGGTATATGTGTATTAATAACAATATTTTGAATGTTTTCTTAACATTTTACTTGTAATTATCATTAAAATCTATATTTCATTTACGTATATCTATCTATCTCCTGATTTGTTCCCTTGCATGTTTGTGTCTGGTACAAGCTGGTACTAATTGAGATTAATTCCAGATATTACCATTGAAACCATAACATCATTTTGAACTTTCAGTTACTTTTTTAATTAAAAAATATTATTTTCAGTATTTCACAACTTTGATGTTTATAATACATGCTACTATAAATATTATCATGTAAAATTTAGATTTCAGAATACGGGATCACAACCAAAATAGAAACAGAACGTCTTCGAGATCAAGAGGTCATATTTGCGCAAAATTGTGTATACACTCAGTACTTATTTCAAACTTTAAATTTCAATCATTTGCGTCAAGACGTTTAACACAGCTACAACCTGGGTAACTGAGAAAAGAAAGAAAATTTGGAAACCTTAATCGCGTAGAAAGAATAAGAAAGATGAAACGACAAATTAAAACAGAAAATGATACAAGATTAAAAAAACAACCTAATGCTTGAAGAAACCATCCACGAACAAAGACCACGACCACCACCACTGAGATAGTTCCTTCCAAGGAATCATGAAGACGAAGATCCGAAACTTGGAAAAACCTCTTATTCGCAAAAAGATTGAATGAAATAATCAATGATCCAATCCACTTTTTAAGATTATAGGAGATCTATAAATTAGACCTTCCTATTTCACGCTCTTCTTCGACTATATATTAAATTTTGTTTGAAAAGTAATACAAAAGCTACATTTTTCACTGAATCCACAAAAAGGTAGAAACGTTATGCTCATGCCTACATGCAAACCGATGACATCTTTTAAGGAACACGAAAGAATATCAGTTAGTGCATGCGCGAGACGAGACCAAATGTTTAGCGTTAGCACCTGCTTAAGTCAGCAAGCCAGTGCAAAAACGAAAAACATCTTTTATTCCTTTCATGAAATAACAATAATGCAAAACAGATAAATTTAAATAGAATGTTTTAATGATTGCTTTGCAGATTCTATTTAATTTACTTAATTTGTTTGAGCACACGTCGAATTACACATTATTGTTTTTATTTTATAATTTATCATGCTTTATATTATTGTATATCTAAATTTTAGGTATGCATTTTTTGGCAAATACAAACCTTGTTAATTAAGTAATTATTTCCCACTATTTTCTTAGTTCAACAAAGTTTTGGAAAATGTCAACTAAAGATTGATACGATGTTGAATTAATGCTGAATTGATAAAGTCGGGCTGTATTCACTAGCGAACCCATAAATTAAGGGAATAATCTGAAGGAGGAATGTAATTTGCATCTTTTCCAAAATCATAATAGGGTAATGTTCCGCCAAATCTTGCTGAATTCTCCTCAGTGATCCCAATTCCATGATCAGCTCTGCTACAGCTTGAACCTCCACCACCAATCATCAAGACAGCACCATCACCTGAACTCCAATTACACCAAAATCCAACATAACTGCTATTTTGAATGTTGCTGCTGCAACTGCTCTGTTCAAATCCTGCTGTGGTTTTGTACTGACCTCCATAAACAACCGGACAACTTCCACGACAATCATCATTGTTCCAAACGTTTCCATTTCTCCAATTACCGTAACTTGTAATTTTAGATCGAAAAGATTGACCTGAATGGAATTAAATGTAAATTTATATGCAGCGGTAACCAATTCAAAAGCAACTAGTGGTGATTTTTCATAAGAATAATACGTGGCAAATTATTGCTTGTAGAAACGTTCTTATTAGCATACAAAGAAATATAATATGTTGCTGTGTTTGTACAGGCATGTGCAAACCGAGGAAACCTTCGAGAGAATTCAAGAGCAGATCAGTGTATGCCCGATAGCGAAAGTTGAGGGTTTCACATGCTCAAGAGTCTCAAAAACGTCTCCATAGACAAACAACAAAAAGTATTTATCTCATAAAAAAAAAAACAACATGTAAAACAGATAAATTTCAAAAAATGTTTAAGAGTTGTATTTTTGCAATCAACGTATCCATGAATTGTCATAATTGTTGAAAAACAGCAAGAAAGACTTTCCTACGTGTGAGCAGAGCGTATAATAATGTTTTTAACTGCAAACGTAAAAACTTGCCCATGACGTTCTCCATTTTTTGTAATGATTCAACAACACATAACAAGTCATTGTGTCTAATTGAAAATGGTGTGAAAAGGACTGATAATTAAGAGCTATCAACAATAAATGGCATTCAAATTTTTTAAAAACAATTGCCTGTTGACAATTCATTCTTTATTGAAGTTGTCTGTAAAATCACAAAGTAAAAAGATCCAACAAAGAAAGCTGGTGTTGATTGCAAAATAATCTAATTAGTTTTCATTACATTTTAGTATGAGTATTCAAAGCCTGACCAATTTACTGTGGATTACATACACAAACGATGGAAAGAAGGACATGGTATTAGGAGGAATTTTTGACATTACTCAATGTCTAACCAGATATAAAAAATCATAGATGAGCTTCTGATGTTTCATACGTTGAGATGACTGAGTATAAAATTGCCTTTATCTTGTGTTAGTGAACAGATGACATAAAAAAACGCTGTGTTTTGTTTTTCTCCATTCCTTATTATTTCAGTTACACCAGTAAAAAAAACCAATGTGCATGTAATACACAGTAGTAATTTTAGCAAGTAGCAATTTCTTGCTGGCAAGAGGGGCAGAACTTCGCTTACGATAATAACTTTACCAACTATTCAAAATTTTAAATTATAATGGATCTAGTTTTAATTAATTGACTAGCTCTTACTTTACTGTTTGTTGAAATCTATTCTTAAAGAAAATTCGCTGCTGATATTTCTCACAAAAAATTCAATACATTTTATTGCCAATTTTTGCCTTACAGAAACAAAAGTGGTATATTGTAAATGGACATTGAGATACCTTGAAGGCAGTTTGATGTTGTCTGCAGTAATGCAACGTTGTTAATATCATCGCTTCTTGTTATCTTAAATTCGTTTCCTTTCAAATTCCAAAATGCTTCAGATATCATATCGTAATTGTCAGATGGATCGTTCACTTTCCCCTGAGGTGTCATTTTATCATACCAAAACCATCCGTTGCTCATCATCCAGTTTTTGGAATCGTTGTTTGAAAAACGGGCGACGAGAGTCCAACTTTTCGATAATTTTTCTACCTAAAGAACATTGTTTTATGCTCTTTAAACAAAGAAACTTTTGAAATGTTCATTTTAAATTTGAGAGAAAATTTTAGTTCCAGAACAAAAATGCACGCAAAACTGTCATATCTTTTTAATTTCGCTCCTAAATATCAATAGTAACCTCCTTACATGCTATCGTTTTTTTACGTATATCTCACTTGTTCTCATCCGTAAATATAGTTCCTGTCACCTGTCCAATTCTTATTAATCATAACTATAACTTAAACTATTAAAGTATCTGTTTACAACAAAACTACCTTAAAGACAAGATTTCCTTAATCTATTGGGCAGAAACAGCAGAAAAACCTCATCAGTTATTAAAGGTACCTCTCAGTTGAATGAATTGCATAGAATAAAGATTTGACTGTAAAGATTTTGCAGTTCTTGGAAAAATATCAAATTTCCAATCATCTTCTTTGCTGATTTCATTCTTCTTTAACTCTTGTCTCGAGCAAGTAAGCGTGGAAATGCATTTTGAAAGTTGCATGCAATCAAAAAACATTGTCAAAATTGCTAAGTTCTTACCGTCTTAGGAGGATGAAGACCGTGATACAATGCCCATTTTCCTTTGGTGTTCATTGTGTTACTTTTTTTGGTGTATGTGGTGTTACTAGTTTGGCAATTTATCTCATTTTCATTGGCAACATCAAGATAGTTAAACCCAACACATGGCTTTTGTTGAACACATTTTAATGAGCACTCGATGCGACTGTGAACGACATGACTTGAAAGCATATCTTTTGGTGTTAGAACATCCCCTTTACAATAAATAATAGAGATGTATGTATCTTTAATATAATTGGCTTTATAACTGTGGTTTACAATTTATTTCATTTTTAAATTGATCTATATGTAAATAATGCAGCTTTAATGCCTTTGTTGATGTCGTCGTGCTTTTGATTGTCAGTTTCCATTTGTCGACCACGGTATTTTGGGGATGTAACCATAATAAAACTTCCTTTTCCAATAGCCCTTGTTACATGATTAATTCTTTGCATAATAGCTAACAGTTTACTGCGAGTTTGCTCCTTTTGCTAGTACATATAGCTACATAGAGAAATACATCACTGAAAAACACATCTCAATGAGCCATTGAAATCATGGTGTTTAAGACAAAATGCGATGCACAAGGATTGAAAATAAGTCTATTTTGTAACTGCATTTGCAAGCAAGTACACTTTGATTTTAAAAGTAATAAAACCCATCGAAACGATCGAAACCCATCAAATATTATTATTCAGGCATGAGTACACTGCAGCCTTTACCGGCTTCAACAAAAACATATGGAGACTGGAGAGAGACTAGCCTTTTCATATATATGATCTTGGATTTGTAAACTTGTCTAGTTTGATTGCTTTGATCACACTATACTTAAATTGAAATTCCAAGCAAACTGTTAAGAAAACAACTGCGCAAATATCATCAGTATAAGTGATTCAACTCAGATAAATTGCAATTAGTTTCTCGACAACATCTCTTTCATCTTCTTGTAATTTTAATTTGCTCTCGCTAATGAATAATAAACGTAAGCTCAGACTCTGACCACTTCGGTTAAATGGGCTGGAAACTTTTTTGTCAGTAGAGAGGTATTTTGAAATTTAAATAACCAGTAAAAATACCAAGTACTGGCATTATTAACAGTAGGAAAGACAATTAAATGTAACCTATCAAAAACAACCTTGAAAGTATAATTACAGAATAACAATAAACATTCTCAAGTATGAAAACAAAAAATTGATACTCTAAAGCCTAGCTTTGAAACAATTTGGAAAAGCATTTTTCGTGTAAACATTCAAATGTATAGTATAATATTTGTAGACACTAATTTAAGCACAAATGGTTTTAGTAGCAACATTGAACGTGAAGATCATTTTTCTTTTTGAACAGCGTTCATACCGTTATCTCTTATTTTCCTGAAAACACGTTGAGAACGTTTGCTCTCCTCATACGTTGCATTGGAAGCAGCAATTGTAAGAAAAAAAGCAAAAAGGTGCACGACCATCTTTCATGAAGAACAACAGCACTTTGGGAAATTCTGCAATACTACAGTAATATAGCTACTGCATCTTAGAATATATTATACTTGTAGCTACAGCTGTGTTTATTTTGATATAAATGTATTCAATATAAAATGAACAACGCACGTTTGAATATACATTACTCATGGCGATTTAATAAAGTTGATTTGGTTCAATTTTTAACCTATGTAAACTCTTAGCAAATGTTGCTTGTTAAAACAATGCTTGAAAATTTTTTCATATCTGTTTAAAACTAGAGGTTTCTTTGAACTTGAAACTTTCTCGTTAGTTACTATCCTTGAAATTATAAGACACGTGAGGAACGTTGTCGTTGCTACGCTACGTAGCTAGCTACGTGATTCTTACTATAATTGGAAAATTTGTCGTGTAAGACAAATTGCTGTGTGTAAATAATGCATTATTGCCTCAAAAAATAAAGAAGAAAATAAAATAAAGATCGGTGTGGGTTGAGTGAAAATCGAGGTAAATTTGCCCTATTTCTTTTTCAGAAAATACTCTTGACTTTTTTCTTTTTCTGAATCTCTGCAGCTTTTGATTTTTCAATAAAAACAACAACACTTTCATCGACACTTTCTTTTTCCGTGTTGACAGACGACATTTCCGTTGCCAAGCAAAAATCTACTTGTTTGGTTTTCGATCAACTTGCTATATTGTAATGAAAATTTTTCAGGCAGGCGGCAAAGTTCGACAAATTCATGTTTTACAGCAGGGGGATTGTTTGTATGTATTCTTTCAAAAATGAAAATTTGTGTATTTTACAAAAAGCACCCTTTCGTGAGCACCCTTCCTTTATGGAGCAAGCTTTAATAATATGATGTTTTATTATAAGGCAAGCGTCACTTCCGGGTAAATGACGCGCTTTTATTGGCTTAGAAACATTTTTTCCATTATTTCCAGTAATCGACCACGGTCCAAAATGCGTAATTTCACAGTCAAATCACTGTATAGGGAATATACAGTAGGTCCACTTCGTGTGCAATTTGCTGCTGTATATTTAATTAGATTACTGGCTGCCGTTAGCCATTTCATCATTCCTATTCGTCAAAAAAAGTAATTGACTGGCTGCCACTATGGTAATCACATGGGTAATAAGATATGCGTGGCACAAAAAAATTCAATGGAGTGGCCCTACTGTATATTCACTATACTGTGATCAAATGTAAACAAACTTCGTAATGCAAAACAGCAAAACGCAAAATAAACGTAACAAAAAACCATTTACGAAACGAAGGTGATTCGAAGGAAAAACTCTTGGAAAACAGTTTAACTATCCAGACGATACAATTTGAAACGATTTATTTTTTATGGACGAAAATTAGTAAAGTGAAAGTCAACCGGTAAAAAACAGCAAAACAGCAAAGACGAGAAAGTAATCAAGCTTCGTTTCAGGTCTAATAATGCCATATAATAAACCTTTTAAGAACTTCGCTTTCTCGGCATTTACGGAGAAATATCGGACCGAAGTTTTTTTGTGTAATCTCGCCCTACGGGCTCGGTCTGTGCAAAAAGACCTCGGTCCGATATTTCTCCGTAAAGACCTCGCGCTCGATTAATAAGGGCTTAGTACACACGTGGATGAACATATCATTGAGGATATTAGCTACAAACCTCGTGCAGATTATAATACTTGCTTTTGTGTTATTGACGAATTGAAACTCATCTAGTCGACAGAAATATTACTTTATGGAGCTAGATGGATAATTAAATCACAAAACAAAAATTTGATTGAGCCACATGTTTCCAAAAACTGTTTTGAAAATCGCAAATGAAGGACAAAAATAATCTCTTAATAGTTCTTAAAAGAACTGTTTATAACAAGAACATTAATGCAACAATGCTAAAAGAACTGTTTTACTGCTAGAAGAAACGACGCATTTCGGCAAACTACTCCTCAGGTGTAAACGTCTGTTAAATGATTATCATTCCTGTTTTGAGCGTCATCTTTCTTGTCATTATAAATATCAGCGTATCTTAAATTTTCATTTCCGTCAAATTTGGCTTTAAAAAATTTTCAGGCTTTTCTATTACAGGTAGGCTTCCATTTATTATAGCTGTTCAATGCTGTTTTATTACATAGATTTCCACAAGATTTGATCGAATCTTTGATAAGATTGTACAGAAAACCGTACAGGCCAAGCAGCTGGTTTTAACACTTTTCATAACGCTTCCATTATCTTTGCTTTTTGTAAAGAAGCTCTTACTTTCTATTTGAGCTTAGAAATGAAGTCAGGCTTCTCGTATAATTAAACAAAAATTAGAAAAAATACATATTTTTGGCGATGTCTCCACATGATTAGATACAGCTGTTTAAATTGCATTTTAATCCTTCTTTGTGTTCCTATACACACACGTTTTTATATCACAATGAATAAACGTAGATAGCCTTCTTTTACATATATCGTTTGCCATAAGTAGTGCTATAGTTACCTTTCATAAACTATCTCACGATGACCTCTAAAAGCAAAAAAATAAAATTGGCTGCACTTTCAGAAAGAGGTTGGCGATTTAAATATCATGGCTCAGCTTTGGTTGAACTCTTTATGAAATACTCCAGTAATTCGTATTCTCGAAATAACAACGAGAAGGTAGGATATTTTAAGAGACTTAATCATAAACATTAACTGAGTTGATTCACGATCACATAAAAACAGATGATACATTTTTAAAGTTTTCTGTGAAATCATACAGAAATTTTGTGGCTACCTTTTTTGTTTTTGGATACTCGTATTTTGGCGGAGCCTGCAGGCAAGTTCGGCGAGGCTAAGTAAAATTTTTAACATTAGTACTATTTATTGTTTTTTTTTCAGTCAGTTTTTACATACCAAAATAGTTGTATAGCATGAACAAACTTGCCGACTAGCTATGCCCTATATATATTTGATATAGCTTCAGACAACCGTATTTATTTGATGCAACAGCTAGTAGCAACGTAAAAGACGCTTTACTATATTTTTACCTCCCTTTCAGAGCAACTCCAATTCTTCCTTTACCTATCTTTTGAAGCGGGTGAAAAGCCCCAATTACCCATTTTCTTTTTGGCGCTTCCCAAGACATAATCATTGAACGGTCCACGAAATATAATTATACAAATTGTTATAGGGGGGTTAATTAACTACTTTTAATGCTTTAAAAAGATGCACGCCGGGCGGAGTCATATGTAATATATTGGCCGCAGTACCAAGGTTGCTGTTTTTAGGTTGGCTTTTTCAAGGCTGATTTGGTCGATTTTTTCGGCCTTTATCGTTTTACCTCGTAAAAAAATTTGTGTCGTTACTCAATAAAACCAGGGCATAAAAGCACTCTTATATTTGATCTATTTGTCACTATTTTATTTTACCAACAAGTGCAAGCCAGTACCACGGTACCACGGCTGCCTGCCTGCAGTCTCCACGGGGGAGGGAGAGAAAATTAAGGCACGTGCCAAACCGTCAAGGCCACGTGCCAAACCAAGGCCACAAGCAAACGCTCTTTCACAAAATGGCGGATGGTAAGAGCACTTCATGTGACGTCTCTGAAAGATGTTTAACGTACAAAAATGTTGACTTTCTTCTGCTCCATTACATGATTCGATATATAAGAAACAAATATGATGAAAAAGACAATCCTCAAGTAAAGTTATTGTTATTGTTAGATAAAATGCAGTTGTATTCAATTGACCAATTACTATTTTAATTGATCGACATTGTACTCTGTTGGTGATTTGACACAAATTTTGCATCTACGTAAAATGGTTCTGTCTGATTGAAACCAATGCAATTCGTGGTATTTCAATCAAATGAAATGGCTAAATGTAAATGCTTGACTCAGTTAAAAGTGCATTTTCAAGAAAAAGCCAGCTGTATAAGTTGGTCTTAACTGCACGTGGCTTGCAAACCTATAACCGCATAGCACAGTCATTGGTCAAGACAATGCTATGTTGCTATAGTTGTAGAACATGAAAAAACCCATCTCTCAAGAGGTGTATTTTGAATACATAAGTTACTTTTATTTTGAAATGTACACACCTTATCAATCAAAGCTGATTTCCATGAAACCCATGCTTGAACGCTGTGTATGTGAACAAATTTGAACAATGTACGTTATGAAGTACGTATGATATGAATTTTTCAGACTATAGAAGGTGGAAATCACAAAACTTAGATTAGTAAAATGGTTTTTATTTTAAGATTGCTCAAAGTGTTCAAGTTCCCTAGTGCTTGTTTTAATAAAGTATGATATTTATTTCAGGGCATTATCAACATGGGTACAAGTGAAAACAAGATAATAGCTGACTTGGTATCTGCAAAGGTATTCATGATCGGATCATTTATCAACATTTTTATATCTTATGAAAGATTGTTATATGCAGTGGTGATCTTACACTTTAATGGACAATTGAAGCAATTGTCTCATGAACCTGAAAAATTCAGGTGACTTCCTGTTGAGTCAATTCATGAGACAATTGCTTAAATTGTCCATTAATCATATCTTCATTTAATTTTATATCTTGCTATCTCATATGTACATAGTAAGCTTGTGTGCCACATTTCTACAATAATGGTTGTTTTACATCTATATGCACAAAAGCAACCATATTCTTAAATCATTTTGATTTCCACGAGACACTATATGCAGTTCTAAGAGCTACAGGTTTGGCTTCCCTTGACAGAAGTGTATAAGCCATGTCATACATTGCCCTAATAGAGAGTGAAATTTAGATTATGTTCTTTTATATTTGATTTTGGATTTCAAATTCCTTACATAAAATGTATTAGTTTTAATGGGATGTTTTAATGAGAAAGGAAGATGTTTCAGAAAGTTAAAGCGATTGCTTCATGAATATGAATTCCGATTGTTTGCTGATGGCTTTGGAATTGCTTGATAAAATTCTTTAAAAATTGTTTACAATAAAACATTGCACTAACAGCCAATTAGCAAAATGTCATCTTAATTTTTCTTTTTGTTTGAATGCAATTATAAAATTATATCTCTCTTTATTTAGAAATAAAAGATGTTCACTGTGTT